CGGTGCTCGTGCATCTACCCCCGCTCAAACATGATTCTGCCCACAAGAGGCGCACCCCCGAAAAAGGTCCAGAGAACAACCCCCTTAAGCTATTCAGCTGGTGAAGCAGGCGCCCGCTCGTTGTAGGCCCATTGTGCTCGGCGATTTCAACATTGCACTGAGGAGCGGCACGGGAGTGACGTCCCCGACGTCCAACCCAGAGACGGCACACACACACACACACACCCGAACATCAAAATTTCAGAGGATACCATCGTGGCGGCCAGGCGATGATCGGATACCAGATTTCGAAATGTTTCATCCAGCCCCACGAACTCATGAACGTGGGGAGTTTTTCATAGAAAATGGGGCCGACATATGTGGAACCACTGGCACAGTGGAAAATTGCCCTGTTTGTCCAAATCAAGCGCAGTGTCATGCCATGGGATTCGGCACGACGTTGGCGATTTGTACCTACCGCTATGACCAAATACCATCTGCCGATAATGGTTGGATCTTCTGCTTTTCGATACCGTACTGCGAAAGAAGAAACGTTCAGGTGGGACCAATATAATCTAACCGCAGCCTTACGGGAGGGCAAGCAACGATTTGAATGTCAGCATGGACCCGAGACAACATTCGAGCGGTGCACCGAAACGCTGGAGTTGTGTAAAACGTGTGATATGGACAGTGGTTTGCACGATCACGCGCACCAGAATTGTTCGGCGCCCCGATATATATATATATATATATATATATATATACATATATACCCATGGACACCACTGCCCCGAAAAAGTCACCTCGCACTCGTCCGGCTGCGAGCTGAAGCCCGGGCGAGACTGAGAGAACGGGGGGAGGATTGCGCTGCCATGTTGCGGACGCAGCCACTGCTGTTTCCGGAATAGCAGGAGCTGCAGGACATCAGATTCGCCCGTCGCCATTTGTCACGACGCGAACGAGCCGAATGACAGAGGCGACTCGATTCGTCCGCGAAATCTACAGCGCCCATCGGCGCCGCAGATTCGTCGAAGCCCATCGATTTTCTTCCTCTTAGCTGCTGGATGCGGAGGGCCACGGAACCGACGGCGCCGCATGCCGACACCGACGTCGACGAAGGAGGAGCGGAGGACCTTCCTGGAAGGATCACCGCGCGAAGGAGGCGCGGGCGCCCAGGAGATCGATCACGCGAGGTCTAGCGGGCGCGTTGAGATTCCTAGAGCAGCGACCGACGCGCAGAGTTGCGCCGGCTCGGGGCGCCCCCGCGGAGGTATTTCCGACAGCCGCCGGGCCCCCCCGCGTTTCAGCGGCGGGCGAAACCCGCCGAGGACAGAGGGCCGAGCGCGTCGACGAGTCCCCTCCGCCTCAGGCCTGCGAGCATCCTGGGATCATCCATTGGCGGGTTCGAGCGCTCTTGGCCATGTTTCCCGGGGGCGCCCAATCTTGAAGCCCAGCGGTTAACGATTGAGCCGCGTCATCTGCCCGCGCTGGAAAGGGCATCTTCGGGGCTGCTGCGCGCGGTGGCCTCCGAAGGTTACCCCGGCATTGGCCCGCAGTGTTCGGTGGTTTTTCCCCGCCGGACTCCGAGGAGGCGCCCGGGCAGTTCGCGCGCGCGGGACTGCTTTCGGAGACGAAAGCTGGCTCGCCTCCAGGGCCCCCGCGGCGCGTCCAACGCCTTGGCATCCGCTGCGCCGGAGGGCCGGCGCCGCGCGACCCAGGCGCCTGCCTTGCCCCGAGAGCAAGCACCGTTTGAGCGCCGCGCTGCGAAGGCTTTCATCGTCATGGGATGCGCTTTTGAACGGGAGGGGCCACGGGGGGGCCGACGGGGCCTCAGTGCACGACGCGGGGTCGGGGGGTCGATGGGCCCCTGCGCGGGGCCGGCGACTTTTGCAGCGCTCGCGCGGCGATCCGCCAGGTCGCCCGACTCCGCCTTGAGCCCGGGATGCGGTATATCCCGGGGATGTTTCGACGGGGGCGCGAGCGCTTTCGCCGGGGGCACTTTCGACGAGATACTTGCAGGGCGTCGAAAGGCTGGAGAGGCCCACCTGACCTGCCAGAGCGACGGGCTACCGGGCTCGGCCCTGAGGGGGGCCGGCTTTTCCCCAAACCATGGCAAACGAGAGTTGTTTCGAGCTGTCAAAGATCCCAGGAGACCGCGAGGGGGGCGATGCGCCTGGAACTCGGCTGCGATGGAGAAGTTGCAATGCCGTTTTTTCGGCCGCGAGGGCGGGGCGGGCTAAGATGGGCAGTCCATGAGGGGGGCCGTGTCTCCAGCAAGCGTGAACTATCCACTTTCTGGGCGCGTGCCGTCGCAGCTGGCCTATCGGCGAGCGGGCCAGCCAGATGCGCGCGATTGAGAGTGGCAGGGTTACGGACTGGACTGGATTGCACCCGGAGGGCCTCGCGCACGCCGCCCCTGGACGAAGGTGTAAAGTTGCCCTGCGAGGCGCGCCCAAGCTGCCCGACTTTGCCCGCGCCGCCCCGTGCCCCGCGCCCATCTCATCGCCATTGTGCGGGGATGCTCCATTGACTTCTTGCCGCTTACCTTGGGCCCCTATGGGCGCCCGAGTAGAGTTGCCCCGCAACGCGCGCAACAGGTAGACGCCGACCAAGGAATGCACGCGGGCACCAGGGGCACCGAGCATTTTTTCGAGCGATTAAGGGGCGTCAACGCTCGCGCGTCGCCCAGGTCAATGCCGAGTAGGTTCGAGAAGCACGGCGCCGGGTCGACCCCGCGATTCTCGAGGCCGCCATCCCGGAGGATGGCGAGGAGAGCTCTTTCCGCGCGCCGAAAGGACCGGCGCGGACTGTGGCGCCGCCGACGGAAGAAGATTTCGCGACACTCGCTCGCGCCTTCAGAGACGAGAGCGGGGCCTTTTGCAGCCGGACCTTCTCCCGCCACAGGGCCTTCACTTCCTGCGCGCGCCAGTTTCGAGTGGCCGAACATGGCGGCCGCGATCCGCTGCGCACTTGCGATATGCAATGCGCGCCCGCGGTGTCGCTCAACATTCTCGGCGCAAGATGGCGCCCGACAACGCGCGCGGTCGGCGCGGGAGAGTTTCGCGCCTGTCGCTTCCGTTTCCCATGGCCCCCCACTGCCCCGTGAGAGCCCAAATGCACGTGCTGCGACGAAGCGTTCGGCGCCATCGACGAATGCGACGACCGCGCCGCGATAGAACGCCCGCCCCGACCCCGGCCCGCGGCCGTCTACCCCCGAGCCGCTTTGGCGCCGACGGCCTCGACCGCCAGCCCGCGCCCCCAGAAGCACTCGCGGGGGGGGGGGGGGGGGCGTGGCGGCCGCGCCCCCTTCCGCCTGCGTTCTTGACGCTGCGTCGGGGGCCAGCAGCCCCCGCGCCCCCGCGCCGCCAAGCTTCGCGTTGGCCCCGGGCCCCGGCGTCTTCCCCAGCGACGTGCAGGCGGACGCCCTCACGCGCTCCTTGAAGTGGGTTTCTCATTTGGACGCCGGGCGGCCCGAGGGCGGGCGCTTCTGCGGCTTGGCGACGGACTCCACGACGGCCTTCGGGGCGGACTTCACAGCGGTCCTCATGGCGGACTTCGTCGCTGACTTCGCCATGGGCACCGGCGCCTGGCACCCGGCGCGGCGCGCGCGGCCCATGTCGAATTGGGAGCCCCCTGCCCGCTGCGGGCTGGGGGGGCAGAGCAGACGGGCGCAGCGTCGAGGCCCGACGGGGCGGAAGGAATAATGCAGATTTCGGCATGAAAGGAGCGCTGAAGACGCTCCAAGCACTGATCATCGAATTCCTACCCTAGTTAGGCCGGTCGAATGGGGGCGCGGGGAGGGCGGTTTTCGGTCGCGCCCTGATAGACGCCGACGGCCACGAGGCCGCGAAGACGAGCGAGAACGGCGCGAAGCATTCCGAGGCGGTGGCCTCCCAGAGCTAGGGGCGCAACTTAGGCCCGCCCCGCCTGCGGGCGTTCGGAGGATTGCGCCGATGGGCCGCGTGGGCGGCGCGGGGCCCCCCGGCGCGAAGAAGCTTTCAGGATTGCGCCGCCAGTTGGAGCAGAGGGACATGCGCGCAAGGAACGACGTGATCCGATTCTGCAAACTGGGCCGCCGCTGCAGGGGCGGAGTTGAAGCGCGGCCGAGCGCCGCCGACCCGCGCGGGGCGCGAACTTCAGGATGGGCTCGAAGCGTTCACGGAGATCTAGACACAAATGAGGGAGGAACAGTGAATGAGGCGCGTGCTTCTCATGCGGACACTGAGCTGGCTGGCCCGGCGATCACTGTCGCGACGAACCCCCCCGACCTCCCTGGCATCTGTTCCGAGAACCAGGACTTCGAGCACCGCGCCCCCCACTGCCTCGACGACGGCGGCTTCGGGGGGCCCGACCCGGGCGTTGAGCGCCGCGCCCCCCGCCCCCCCGCCTCCCCGGACCATGACATGGCCTCGGGCACTGCGCCCCCCATTCTGTCTGACCTCCGCGACGAGGCCGAGGGCTTCGAGCGCCGCGCCGACTCCTGCCCCCCTGACCTCTGTGCAGAGACCCAGGGCATCGAGCGCCGCGCCCCCCCGCCGCCTCCTCGACTTCCGTTTCGAGGCCCACGGCTTCGAGTGCCGCCCTTCCTCCGAAGGCCAGGGCCAGGCCCGCGCCCGCGCCCTCGACCGCGGCTGAGTTCTTGGGAGCTAGAAAGCCCGAGGCCCCGGATTCCCGGACTCCGTCCGTGGATTTGTTTGAAAAAATGGGCATCTGTCCTGGGCACCCGAAATGCACGGCCATGCATCAGCCACCAGATTGCGCTGCTTGCGAGGAAAGAGTTCGAGCAGGTCGAGTTCCCCCAGTCTCCTCGGGCTCTAGGGCCCTCGTGTCGCCGTCGTTCGCCGCCGCTGTTCGGTCCTGCTGGGCCCCGCTCTAAGCGTTCGTTCCCGCGACGGCCTCTGGGGCGCAGGACGCTAGCCTTCGGCGCAAGCCCCAGGGGCGCCCCAGCGCCGAGCCTCGGCCATTTCCTTTGGTTTTCCTCCAAGCTTGGCTTCATGCTGCTAGCTGGCCAATTCAGGGTTCTTTCGGAGTCTCAGTAGTTTTGATTCACCATCGTGATAGCTTCGTATAGCTGCCGATACCGAATAGCTCCACATAGCTTAGTTGCGATCGCACCCGATCCAAACTATGCTTGGAATAATGGCACCGCTGTGCGCAGTCGGGCTTGTGGCTACTGGCGCTGAGCACGTGGATCTGCAGCTCGTGCAGACGCGCACGGCCAGTTTCTTGCGTGGCAGTAGGATCTGGCAGGGACGCCATACCTCTACCCAGGGAGACGAGTGCTACGAGAAGGTGTTGTGGGCGATGCGGACGGGCACCAAACAACACCCAGCGTGGTATCTCCCCCTGACGAGTCATTCCAGCTTCGAGGACTTCCAGCAGCACCTGCACGCCGTGGACAGGCTCTCTGACGTGTGTCCCAGGCCATGTGCAGCGGCGCAGTCGGAGGAGCGACCGACGGAGCAGTTGCCCGCGCCGATCCCTACAGCACAGCATGTTGGAACTCCAATGCCAACAGAATTCCAATTGCAACTCGTATGGGACTAGTAGCACGCACGTAAGTATGGCTTCTGAGCCGTCGAGGCCTACCCTCCGGTTTTTCCGCCATGAAGAGTCATCTCCGCCAGGCGTGTTCAATAACGCGACCTGATGCTTTTGCTACATGCGCGCACGCGCGCAGCGGGAGCAGCACGTCGATTGGACGTACCTGTTTCCGCCGTGGGCCAGCTCCACTAGCAAAAAAACACTGGGAGAACTCCGCGTAGCGCGTCACTCCGCCGGGCCCCCAGCAGCCCTCGAACGCGGCGACAGTTTCGCAGGTCGCAGCCCCCCAGGGATGGCGAGGCCCAGTCTGAATCTGCGTAGCGCGTCACTCTAAAATGGAGTCGAAGTAAATTGGGTCGGAGGATCGCGCCGCATCGCCGATGCATCGGCGATGCGGCCTGATGTGGGGCCAGAGTTTCTTTACGTCGACGTAGCCGATGCATCGCCGACGTCGGCGAAGCATCGCCGTGGTGCATCGACGATGCGGCGTTCCAAGTCTTGCCTGCGGCACCGGCCGACCCCAGCCCCCAATGGGCAACTCCCTTCTGCACACGAAAGAAGATCAGAATCGACCGATCCGGCGTTGCGAACAGTGTGTCCGGATTGCGGCCGAGGCCAGGCTCAGGACGGCCGTGCAGAGGGGCGGTCACCAGGGGCAGCGTCACGGGGAGGATAGGCTCGGAGGGGCGCGTCGACCCCCAAGCGCCCGCGCAATGCCTACATGGGGCCCGATGGCCACACCTTCGCCAGCCAACCACTCGGCACACCCCTTCGGTGACCCGATAAGGAGCTCCGAGGAAAAACCCAGTGTTTGCGCCACGTTTCGTGCCCCCACAGGGAGCTCCCTTGAAGGCCCTTGTGGCTGCGCTCGCACGCGCCCGGCGCACCCATGTCGGCACACCCTTCACACGTCCCGTGGCCCCATAGGGAGCTCCCCCGAAGGCCCCAGAGGCTGTGCTCGCATGCGCCCGCCGCACCCATGTCGGCACACCCCTCACACGCTCCGTGGCCCCATGGGGGGCTCCACCGAAGGCCCCAGAGGCCGCGTTCGCACGCGCCCGCCGCACCCATGTCGGCACACTCCATCACACGTTCCGTTGCCCCATAGGGAGCTCCACCGAAGGCCCTTGTGGCTGCGCTCGCACGCGCCCGCCGCACCCATGTCGGCACGCCCCTCACACGTTCCGTGGCCCCATAGGGAGATCCACCGAAGGCCCCAGAGGCTGCGCTCGCACGCGCCCGCCGCACCCATGTTTGCACACCCCTCACACGTTCCGTTGCCCCATAGGGAGCTCCACCGATGACAACACTCAAAATTTGTTGGGTCCTTCGCCATGCTAATGTTTTCCGCTGTTGGGCCTCGCGGGATCTGATTTCCTCGTCGCCGCGGCCAGCATCCCCTCGGCGTTCTGGCCAGTGTGCGCCCCGGGGCAGGCCCGATGCTGGGGCGAAATCTTCGTGGAGCTTTTGCAGCGACTCATCCCCCTGGTCCTCTGGGCGCCGAGGCTTCCTCGGCCCTGGCGGCGTTTTCCCAAACTCCATCCTCCAGGGTCGGGTCGGACGAAGGGGGGAGGGAATGTGAAGGCGAATAACCGAACACGATATAAGCATGAACTTTTGAAGCTCCGCACGGACTTCTTGGAACGGCGTTGAGCCCCCCTCCTTGGCGCGCGGAGCGCGCCAGGGGCGGCGCTGAAGTCGCCGCTGGGGGGGGGACTGCGCAGATCCAAGAAACCCACGCGGAGCTCCGAAGTTTACGATTGTGTCGTTTGTTCGTCCTCTAGAAAGGAAAGAGCGTGTTCTACCGCTGCTGGCGGAAAACCGGGGGGGGTCACTACCGGTTCGAACCCCTCCCCCCCCCCCCCAGCTCATCATGAAAAGGGGGGGGGGTCACTACCGGTTCGAACCCCCCCCCCCCCTCGAAAACCGAGTGGGGGTGCGGACAGTGGTGGGGACGGTGTTGGTGGGGACAGTGGTGAGGGGACAGCGGGACAGTGGTGGGGACAGTGGGGGGACAGTGGGACAGTGGTGGGGACGGTAGTGGTGGGGACAGTGGTGGGGACAATGGTGGGAACAGGGGGGACAGTGGACAGTGGTGGGAACGGTGGTGGTGGGGACAGTGGTGTGGGGACAGTGGGAATGAGGTGGAAACACTGGGACAGTGGAGGGTACAATGGTGGTGGAGACACTGGTAAAGGCGGTGGCGAGGACGGCGGTGGGACAATGGGACAGAGGTACAGTGGGGACAGTGGTGGGGACAGTGGGGACAGTGGTGGAAACAGTGGGACAGCTCAGTGGGACAGCGGAGGAGTCAGTGGGACAGTGGGGACAATGGGGATAGGCAGTGGTTGGGTCCGTGGAGACAGTGGGGAGAGTGGAACCGTGGTGGGAACAGTTGTGGGAACAGTGGGGACAGTGCGACAGTGGTGGGGGCATTGGTGGGGACAATAGGGACGGTGGTGGAACCAGTGGGGACAGTGGTGGTGAGGACAGTGGTGCTGGGAACAACAGTGGGGGATGTGATGCGAGCGGTGGTAGGGACCGGGAGTCGTTTGCTGGCGGTGCGTGGGGGGGGGGGGTCGAACCGGTAGTGATCCCCCTCCGGTTTTCGAGGGGGGGGGGGGGGTCCAACCGGTAGTGACCCCCCCCGGTTTTCCGGATCCGGGGGTTCGAACCGGTAGTGACCCCCCCCGGTTTTCGAGGGGGAGGGGGGGGGGGGGGGGAGGGGTTAGGGGAGGGGGGGTTTTTTGCCGGGGGGAGAAGGGGGAGAGGGGGGGGGGGGTCCGGCAGGGGGGGGGGGGGGATTTTCGGAGGGGGGGGGGGGGAGACCCCCGGGCTCCGGAGGAAAAGGTTGGCAATTTTCCACAGTAAAGCGGCGGTGGATCACGCTCTCTCCTAGAAAGGGTGGAGATGCCTTAGGCAACGGTAGTGGGGATAGGCTTAGGGAAGAGCGCATCACCCCCCAATCGCCCATTCATCGCCGATAGGGGCCCGATAGCCTGCTGCGCCCAGGACCGTGCGGATTCGCTACCGGGGGCCTATCGCCGATCAATCGGCAATCTATCGCCGATTCCAGCTCGATGTTTCTCCCCTTGAGCTGATCCCCATGACCGTTGCCCATCAGGAAGGCGCTTGAGAAATCAGCCACGTGAGTCGCGCGAGCTGATTCGCTTTCGCCCGACCATGCGGGGCATTTGGGCTCAAAGCTTTGTAGTCTAAGTAATTTTGATTCACCATCGTGATAGCTTCGTATAGCTGCCGATACCGAATAGCTCCACATAGCTTAGTTGCGATCGCACCCGATCCAAACTATGCTTGGAATAATGGCACCGCTGTGCGCAGTCGGGCTTGTGGCTACTGGCGCTGAGCACGTGGATCTGCAGCTCGTGCAGACGCGCACGGCAAGTTTCTTGCGTGGCAGTAGGATCTGGCAGGGATGCCATACCTCTACCCAGGGAGACGAGTGCTACGAGAAAGTGTTGTGGGCGATGCGGACGGGCACCAAACAACACCCAGCGTGGTATCTCCCTCTGACGAGTCATTCCAGCTTCGAGGACTTCCAGCAGCACCTGCACGCCGTGGACAGGCTCTCTGACGTGTGTCCCAGGCCATGTGCAGCGGCGCAGTCGGAGGAGCGACCGACGGAGCAGTTGCCCGCGCCGATCCCTACAGCACAGCATGCTGGAACTCCAATGCCAACAGAATTCCAATTGCAACTCGTATGGGACTAGTAGCACGCACGTAAGTATGGCGTCTGAGCCGTCGAGGCCTACCCTCCTGTTTTTCCGCCATGAAGAGTCATCTCCGCCAGGCGTGTTCAATAACGCGACCTGATGCTTTTGCTACATGCGCGCACGCGCGCAGCGGGAGCAGCACGTCGATTGGACGTACCTGTTTCCGCCGTGGGCCAGCTCCACTAGCAAAAAAACACTGGGAGAACTCCGCGTAGCGCGTCACTCCGCCGGGCCCCCAGCAGCCCTCGAACGCGGCGACAGTTTCGCAGGTCGCAGCCCCCCAGGGATGGCGAGGCCCAGTCTGAATCTGCGTAGCGCGTCACTCTAAAATGGAGTCGAAGTAAATTGGGTCGGAGGATCGCGCCGCATCGCCGATGCATCGGCGATGCGGCCTGATGTGGGGCCAGAGTTTCTTTACGTCGACGTAGCCGATGCATCGCCGACGTCGGCGAAGCATCGCCGTGGTGCATCGACGATGCGGCGTTCCAAGTCCTGCCTGCGGCACCGGCCGACCCCAGCCCCCAATGGGCAACTCCCTTCTGCACACGAAAGAAGATCAGAATCGACCGATCCGGCGTTGCGAACAGTGTGTCCGGATTGCGGCCGAGGCCAGGCTCAGGACGGCCGTGCAGAGGGGCGGTCACCAGGGGCAGCGTCACGGGGAGGATAGGCTCGGAGGGGCGCGTCGACCCCCAAGCGCCCGCGCAATGCCTACATGGGGCCCGATGGCCACACCTTCGCCAGCCAACCACTCGGCACACCCCTTCGGTGACCCGATAAGGAGCTCCGAGGAAAAACCCAGTGTTTGCGCCACGTTTCGTGCCCCCACAGGGAGCTCCCTTGAAGGCCCTTGTGGCTGCGCTCGCACGCGCCCGGCGCACCCATGTCGGCACACCCTTCACACGTCCCGTGGCCCCATAGGGAGCTCCCCCGAAGGCCCCAGAGGCTGCGCTCGCATGCGCCCGCCGCACCCATGTCGGCACACCCCTCACACGCTCCGTGGCCCCATGGGGGGCTCCACCGAAGGCCCCAGAGGCCGCGTTCGCACGCGCCCGCCGCACCCATGTCGGCACACTCCATCACACGTTCCGTTGCCCCATAGGGAGCTCCACCGATGACAATACTCAAAATTCATCGGGTCTTTCGCCATGCTAATGTTTTTCACTGTTGGGCCTCGGGGGATCTGATTTCCTCGTCGCCGCGGCCAGCATCCCCTCGGCGTCCTGGCCAGTGTGCGCCCCGGGGCAGGCCCGCGGCTCATCCCCCTGGTCCTCCAGGCGCCGAGGCTTCCTCGGCGCCGGCGGCGTTTTCCCGAATTCCATCCTCCAGGGTCGGGTCGGACGAAGGGGGGAGGGAATGGGAAGGCGAAGAAGCGAACGCGATATAAGCATGAATTTCTGGGGGGAGGGCAGCTGGCGCCGCGGGGACAGCGACGGGCTCGAACTGCCGCCGCCGCTCGTTCTCGCAGCCGCCCTCCGTCGCCCCGTCGGCGCCGCCCAGCCGCCGCGATGTCTGTTCCCGCGCGAGTGCTGCCGACGGCAAGGCTTTGCCAGCTCCGCCTCCGCGCGCATCTCCTCCGCCCGAGGTGCCGCCCGCGGCGCTCGGCGAGGGGCCGACGCATCGGCCTCAGCGCAGCCAAGGTGAGGAAGAGGTACATAGGTTTTTCAGCAGCTGGCACACCAGCGCCCCCGCCCCAGACTCGATGGCGCGGAAGTGCTTGTTCCGTGGCACGGTTGCGGGGCCGATGACGCGCGTTGCCTTCGCGCGCGAGGCTCGTCGTGGCGTGGCGCCGTGGTGCTCGGCGTAAAGTTGTTTCAGGCGTGGTCGGCCTGGTCGCCTCACGGTTCGCGCGCCGAAGGGTATGGCCCTTGGTCGACCTCGGCACGTGGCCGGGCTACGGTCAGGATCCGCAATTTCGCGCGGATGAGGCAGCCTTAGGTTGCCCGCCAGATAGGGCGGCCCTCGCGAGCCGGCCCCAAGGTCGCCGCGCCCCCCGTTGCCGCGGGTCGAGCGCGCGCCAGCTGCGCCTCCGCGGCGCTCCCCGCCGAGGCCCCCGCTGCGCCCGCCCGAGCAGCCGCGGGGCCAGAAGAGGGGGCATAACGAGCAGCAGTGGGACCAGGGGGGGCAGTGCGGCAGCGACGCCGCCCGCGGCTCAGGATGGCGCCCCTCAAGGCCGCGTCCGTTCTGGCAGCGCCGCCAATCGGCGCGGCGCCGATCGGCCTCCGCGGGCAAGCGGCAGTCGCGACAGGCGAAGGCACGGGCAAGGGCAAGAACAAAAGCAATGACCAGAGCAAGCCCGACGGCGGCAAGCCCAGGATCGGGGAAACGTAAGACTCGAGTGGATGTGCGCGTTCCATGTTGACGAACATCGACGTCGGATGTTGTGGGCGGCGATGCTTCGGTCTCGGCTGCAGGTTGTGCAATCAGGCGGGCCTGGGACCCTGCGAATGGCACTGCCTCCATTTGCCCGGTGACAAGTTCGATGCATTGAGCATTTTCTGGTAAGCGCGGCAGGTGTTGATAACGTGTATATAGACACACATGTATATACATACAGACACATATATATATATACGCATATGCATGCATTTGTATATTGGCGTTCGCGTCGCCACCCGGGCTTAAAGGTTTCAGGTTGCCAGGGAGACACCTGCAACTATTCATATCTCTCTCTCTCTCTCTCTCTTTCTCTCTTGTTCACGCATGTACTTGTGATGGGCAGGAGCAGCGACGGTTGGCCCCTTGCGTTGCTGCGCTGTTTTGTACGTCCTTATGACACTTGCAGCCTTTCTGTCGGCTGCAGGACGTGCCAGAATAATTCGCTTAGACTGATTGCATTTTTCCTCAGGTCACGCATCTCCGACCAACTGGGGATAGGAACGTTGAGCCTTTCTTGCCGAAAGCATTTCCAGTTGCATGGCGGACGTTCCCCAGGCAGCAGCAAAGCGACCGGAGTTGCGATTGGCCTCAGCAGAAACAGTTACAGGAACGAGTTGGCCACCAGCGTCGAGCAGGGCACTCTTGAACTTCGAGGGCGGGCGCTCTATTTGAGATGTCGCAGGGGCAGACAAGACATGGGGTTCACGAGCTGCCAGTGTCCGCCGAAAAGGCACAAGCAGGGCAGCAGTAGCAAGACAGCGAAACGCCAGCAGTTTGTTCACACCACGGATACTGTGCAATAAGCAAGTTGCCCAAGTGGTGCGCTCAAACCATTGGGATGGATCTCGACGGCACGACAGGACATCACGCTGCGCGACAACCAGCGGCAGAGGAAAACAGCAAACCGCAACGGACCCAACCACTTGCATCTACGCCCGATACCCCACGTTCATGGCACGGCGCTGGTTGATGCCTGCGACGCGCCAGAAGCCACGCACCACGGCATGCAAGTGCGCGTTCAGAAGACAATCGATTACATCGAGGTCTTGCACAGCATGCTCACCAACCTGATGACGCGTCATGTTGCTCAGGTCAAAGACAGGACGTTGCATCGTATTTGCAGCGCGCAGCCGAATGACCATCTTCAACTGTGGATATCCGCATGGCACACCTTCCATTGGAGCAGACCAGCGTAGTCGCCAAAATGCAAATTTTAAAACGCGCGGTGCGCATCCACGCCATGAATATTAGCGAACCGAACTACTTCAAGGCATCCAAAGTTATTCGCAGTGCCAGATGCCAGTTTTCATGCGAGGGCAACATTGGTAGCTTGAATTCAGGGCTATGTCGAGATGTTGTTGATGTGGTGGCCCACGCGCCGCGATACATTCCCGGCTATCAGCGAGCGCAGGAGCCGCGATTCACTGCGAGTACCGGGGCGCGAACCCAAAATAACCAAGACTAATCCCATTCTCGGCGCTCGTGAGCCGCGAATTCAGGCGCGTTCAGAGGCGCGGCGACAGGGGATCCCATGAGCCTCGCAAGTTATCCAGATCGACTGCGGCCATGCGCAGGGGACCCCGAGGGCGAGCTTGCAAACGGGCGGCAAAATCGAGAGCCCCTTCGTTAGTTTTGATCGACAAGTTACGCCGGCCAGGAATCGCGGGGGGTGCCAAGGCGACCGCCCAGAAGCATGATAAGCCACCCATGCAGGCAGTTGGATTTAGTGGGAGCCATTTCATGATATCTCTGCAGGCGTCGAGGCCGCGGGGCAGCGCGCTGCAGTTGATTATCCAGGAAAGTCCTAGAAGATTGGCCAAACCGTCGGCAGCTCCGCGCAGACATGGATGACATCAAACTATCACAAGGGGAGCCAAGTGCTTACCATCATGGAAAGCTTGGCCAGACTGGGGCGCGCTGGGATATTTTCTTGTTTCCCCTTACTTTGCCCCAAGTGGTCATGCCGAGCAGAACAGCGATCGGGTTTTGGTTCCCATGACAGACCAGTATGGATAGCGCTCTATACTGAGGATGTGATGGATTTTCTCTTGAGCGCGATTCGCAGGGCGGCGGCGTATCACCGTCCCGGCGCCGAGCGGGCGCGCCCCGATTGCCCGGGGCAACGGCGGGAGGGGCGCCGGCGGCGCGCGGCCAATCGTGCTATCATGTTGTTTGGGGCTGTCTTTCTACGAGAGCATCTTTGTTCGAACTCCCAATTTCCCTACTTGGGTGGATGGAGGCATTGCGCACGGGAGAAGGGGGGCCGCCATGCTCACGCAGGTTTGCGGCTCGCATCGGCTTCGGCGCGCAGAAGCCCCGCGCTTCGCGAGATGTCGCGATGATGCCGGCGCGTTCTACAGCGCGGATGTGCACCGCTTCGCGGCAGTTGACCAGGAGATGGTCAAAGAGGGCCAAGAGCGCTTGATTGACAGATAACCATGACCAGCACTTACGAGATGGACCACGCAGAGCACGCCTGCCCAACCGAGAGTTATTCCTCGCCAGGAGATGGCGCATCCGCGAAAGTTTGCGGCAATGCGCATGGGCCTGGAGTCAAACTGACCCTTGCAACCATCAGTGATGAGTGCAGAAAGCCTCTCATAGCGCCACCATGCAGATTGCGCTGGAGGGCGAACGGGTCGTCTTAGCGGCCGCCGGCTTCGTTGACGATGCGGGGCAAAAATCTTCGACGCCAGCGTCGATCGCCTTCATGGGCTCTGCAACTGGGGGATATGTTTGCTGGGCGCGGGCTTGGGGGAGGCAGGGGGCGCCCAGGGCGGAGACTGGCAGGTCGACCTCGTTCATGGGGCCTGGAGAGATGCGAAGCAAGCAGTTCGAGTGTTTCATGACCACCAGGAGTTCCTAGATGGAAAAGACGGTCAGGGCAGCCATCTATCCAGGGCGCGCGCATCATCGCGCCAACGGCCGCGCAGCGAAAAGACGGGAGCGTCTCAACATCGTCGCCTCCGCTTGGACATACATCGCCGTTCAGGGTTTTGAATGCGCCACGTAGGTTTCGAGCCGTCGTCTTCGCCAGGCAGGTCGCGAACGCGGCCTCAGCGGACGGGAAGCTGACGCGATGAATGCGATATCCCCACTAACGATAAGCAGTCTTGAGCCCTTGCACACAAAAGTGATTTTGCTGCGCTAGAGTGCCGCTAAAAGGTCGCGGCGATAAGAGAACCAACTGCCGGCATAAGGCGACGTAATTCATAAGCTTTTAGGAAGCTCATGGGAGAACCCTTTTCTGTGAATTCGGAATTCACATAATCAAATGGCATCGCGCAGCGGCGAAGCACCCCCCGAGAGCACGCGCAGGTTCTGGGGGCCCTCTTAGGTCAAGCTCACAGCGAAGGCGAGCCCAAGCAGCGCCCACGGCGTCAGTCACGCTTCAGCCAATCCGTGGAATACGCAATAACTGGCAAGCACGACAGCGAGAGCAAGGGCCGGGGGCGCCCTCGGGGCCGCTGAAGTCCGCGCCAGTCTTCCGCGGCTCCGAGCCGTCAGCGGGGACGCCCGCCAGCGGTCAACGCGATGCGGCCCGCGGCAATGCGTATGGTCGCGAGCAGGGGGGCGTCCGCGACATTTCTCTCCATCCAGCTGATCTACCGTAGCACGCTGTGGGTGGCTTCGTTGTCTGAGGCGGCGCAGTCCGTCTTGGCGCACACCTGGATGTTAGACCTGACGGAGTTTATGTAGTATCCGGTCGTCCTGGCGCATCGCGCTCTCCGGGGAGCGGCGCGGGGCGAGACGCTGCAGTTGCGCCTGAAGCTCCAGCTGAAGCCATCAGCAACACGCGCTCTCCTCCTCGAGCCCCGGGTGGAGGCAGAAAAGAGTCTCCATTCTGCCACCACTGGTGGCTTCCAGAGCGGCCATTCCTTCATATTGTCGAAGGTGCTACGAAGAAATTCCCAAGCGCGAAACCCTCGAGCTACTCATGTTCGCCGTTGAGAAGCGAGTTGGCCGACGTGCGCGTGGTAGCCCGCCCTGGTGCGTTCGACACCAGGCACGATTTGGTCGTGGACGCCATCCCGAGGTCGGCGAGGCAGTGCGCGGGTCGGCGTGTTTCCCAGCCTGGCGCGTTCCATCTCTGCTTCGTGGGCGAGGATGGCGTGACTGAGCATGCCCCAAGCCCCTGCAGACGGGGCGTTAGCACACGGGGTGGTAGCCAAGGGGCCCCTTCAAGCGAAAACGGGGCGGCAGGGCATTTACCTCGCACTAGTGCGCGGTGCATCGGATAACCCTGGGCGGGAGGGTTTACCTCGCACGTGCGCGCGGCAAATCAGTTTTTTTGTTGAAGACACAAATGAAAACGCAACCTCAGCGGCCGGCCGCTTTGCTAACGCTCCAATTGCAGGGGCTTAGATTCTGTGCTTTCGATGGCGCGCCGCCGTTTGTTGATGTCACCAACAACTGCATCAAAATGAGGTGGGCTTGTGCTGCTTCGCTGTGAAGCATGCTGAAGCCTGCCTGGCGTGCTCTGGAAAACCACGTGACTGTATTGCGCGTGCAGGCATTGTGTTGCAGTGGGCGCGCGGTGAGTGTCGCAACGACGCTTCGGCTTTTGTGGCCCATGCCCATCCGAATGTCAGCGTACCTCTAAGCCTTGATTCGTGGATTGTGCATCCTTTGCTGCCGACCGCTCCGCGTGTTTCGATTTTGCCTGGCACTGGGCCTCCATAGCGCACGTCCGTGAGCATTGGGCGCCTGCGTAGCACGAGCAAACATACATCCGTCATATATCGATGCGTACAGTTCTGCTTCTGTATACATCTAAAATTACAAACGTGTGTGTGTGCGCGTGACTTGTTTGTCGATTAGTGTGGGGGAAATGCATGTCGTTGCGGCCTCCCTCCCATCCCATCTACGTTGTTACATGTCGCGTGCTGCGCACGCGGAGGCGGAAGTTCAGCGGCGAGGTCCCGGTCTTGTCTTCGCAAGCTATTCGGCTTGAAGTGTGTCAAGCATCACGGATGCCAGTTGAGGAAGCACAGTCATTTAGCACGCGTGCGTCTCTTCTGCGATTCCGAATAATTTCACGGAGCGAGTGGGAAACATAGTATGTGGCGTACCAGGCGAACAGAGTTCCACGCCCGCCTCCAAACCAGCCTTGCCATACATGAGTGCGGTAACACAGATGGAACGCGCATTGGGTACATATCATGTGGCGTGGCTTGCGGTCGTTTACAGGTTGACGATCCACGCGGTGTCCGAAGCCAGCTCTGACATCGTGACGGCGTTGACTTGTCGTGGGTGGTTGCAGTTGTGAGAATGTTTGGAGGTTGGGCAGGGCGAGTGTGCGTGTGTGCGTGTGTGTGCGTGTGTGTGTGCGTGTGTGTGTGTGTGTGTGTGTGTGTGTGTGCGGGTGTGTGTGTGTGTGTGCGGGTGTGTGTGTGTGTGTGCGTGGAGGCTTACGCATCTGCAAGTGGTCACCCACTCAGGAGTTCACACGAGTCCATGGACCCTCAGCGAGACCCCTGAACAGGAAGAGAGCGATTTGGCTCAACGAGTGCCCTCGCCGGGGCCAAGTAATGTGTCATGTGATGCCTCTCCTCCCCCTATGGAGACATCCCCCATTGTCGTTCGAGGGGGGGAGAAGCAGGAGGAGGAGGAGGAGGAAGAGGAGGAGGAGGAGGAGGAATTGAGGACGAGGATGCGGAGGAGGAGGAGGAGGAGGAGGAGGAGAGGGAGTCAAGTCGAGTCGAGTCGAGGAGAAGTGAGAAGAACACTTCGGACTGTTGTTTGCCATGCCCGAGGGTTCACGCTGCAGCCAACGGCACGATCACAACCCAGGTCAGACATCGAAGCCCCTTACCTGACGTGCAACCGCACCGCGCCGATACAGGCTTCACATCGTCCACCCGACGGGCTACTACTCGCTTCTCAAGTCCTTCGCACGCGCTCGGGCTGGGGCCGCCGACGCGGCGGGCCAGCCTCACGCCGGAACGGTACACGAAAGCGCAAGCATTCGAGGGCCGATTATTTGAGCACGGGCAGAATGTTCAGCACGACCGTCGCCACAATCGTGAATTTGAACCAGTATTGCCCCCCGCTGCAATACGGCGCCATCTGCGCACCACGATGCGGAGCACCAGCGCCTGCCGCACCTTGAGTGTCTTTAGCAACGCCTCCTGCTTCTGGACCTGCAGACGCTCCCAACGGCGCATCGGCACATGCATCAGCGAGCCACTCCACCCAGCGGCCAGTGAGCATCAGCAGGTGCCACCGGCAACGCTGCCGCATCTCCAGCATGCGTTTCACGAGGCCTGCATCTTGCCGAAGACGCTGGGTTCCGCCTCGTCCACGCGGCCGTCGTACCCGTCGGAGGTCTCGTCGAGTTTCTGATGGTCGCAGCCCATATCCTCCGTGTGCGTCACCTCGAATGCGATGTTCTCGATCCTACCGTCGAGCCTCAGCATGCCACGCGCCACAATGCCGCTGGGCTCCTCAACGGTCCAGTTGCACTGCACCTCGCACATGCTCTCCTCATGCCCCCCATGCCACCTAGCTTCACCTCGGCCCCTCCGAGGGCCATCGCGTGCTCGCGCCTGCCGTCGACGGCGCGGCCGCCAGTGTTGTTCATGTCTTAGTCGACCTGTTGAACCTCGCACTCCATGTATTCTTGTGGACGACGGTCCATGGAGAGGAAGCGTGTTGACAAGTAATTTCCACATGTCTAGAATAAGGTTTGAAGCATGTCATAAACATGCAACTATTAGGTAATAATGTTTTTAAGCAGGTTTCAAACATTCTTAACACACGCCTAATTCAATTCCAGGATTGTCAGGGTGTCCACTGTCGTGGCATCCACTAATGACTTCTTCGCTCGTGGTGCCCTCGAGCCTTCCGTCGAGCCTCGCCGTGCTGCACTCCGTCGTGCCGCCCAGCTTCGCCTCGGCCCCTCTTCACGCCACCTCGCCCTCGTTTCTGCCGTCCTCGGGCGCGGCACCCGCCAGAGAGCGCCGAAGCGCGTATCCTCGACCGCCTGGTTTTAGGTTGGGCATGTCCCCCTACAGGCAGATTTAGGAGGAAAAAAAAATGGGCAACAAATACCCCCAAATACCTAAACATATTCCAAACATCGTCCCCAGACTATTTGTTGGCTATCTTGAATATTCCCCCTGTAGGGGGACAGGCCCGAGTTAAGTCTGATTGCCTTGGGGATTCCAGCTGATCCCTCGTGCCGCCCGCATTCAACTCGGCCACCTCGAACACCTCCCACGTGGACCTGTCGATGGGCGCCGCGTAGACGTTCACCGACTCTTGTCGCGTCTCGCTCGCACCCTCCATATCCTGCACAACCCACAAGCTCTCCACGTCGATGTGATCTGACCAACGCCCCTGGGCTGCGCGCATGCCCAGCACCGGGTCGGTGAAGGTCGCCCTCGCCTTGACAGCGGGTATAGGGAAAGGCGGGACCCCGGCCAGCTCGAGGTGCGTCACTACTCCAGGCTCCGTCAGCTCATTCTCGATCCCGGAGTCGCCGTACCTCGCGTCCAGCCTGTCGTTCTCGTCTTCGGCGCCGTCGCCGATCAAGAACGGTTGCGCGGTCTTGGACTCCTCCTGCCCATAGCAATTTCCCTGCAACTGCAAGAGGAAAGCGGCAATGATCTCCTCACTCCTCTGCAAGCTGGCCCAACACAGGCGGCGGAGGTATCATTTTGCCGGCGCCGACCGCGGAGGCGGCACCATAGACGTGGTCGTCCACGCGCTTCGGAGCGGCGCCTCTCGATGTTTGGAGACGATATTGCACGTTGCCAAGTACAGTCAGAAATCATAGTATGGACGCACGGCCAGCCGTTCAGGGTGTTGGCAGTCCGCCGCCCAAAAAGTGCCAATGTCGGCGTCCAAAGCCCTTGCATCCTTAGCGCCCGTCCTTACTATAGATTTTGACTGTACTCTTACGTCGGGCGTGTCCCTCTACAGGAGGAATTTTCGAAAATAGTCGAAAAATAGTCAGGGGACCGTTTTTTAAAATTATTTTTGAGCATTTATTATAGCACTATCTGAACTTTTTACTGTGTCGTCCCAAATCCGCCTGTAGGGGGACACGCCCGACTCAACTGGACTCCGCGTCATCAATCCGCAGGCCTGGCGCCGGCCAGGCTCATCGAGCAAGCGTCGGGGCCCGCAGTAAGGGGCCAGACATTGGCAAAGGCATCAGATCCTTTGGGTCCAGGTGGCTTGAAGAGGAAAGGGGGAGGACGAAGAGCCGAGCAGGAGGAGGAGGAGGAGGAGGACCATACGAGGATGCGGAGGATGAGGAGGACAAGAGGAGCGGAAGGTGGAGCTGGTCCCGGCGGGTCACGCGGGCGAGGCCAAATCGACAGCGTCTCGAGCCGCGTGTTCGATCTGGAGCGCAAGCTCGCAGTGGCGGAGGTCAGCCAACCATCCTCTTCCCCCTCTGCATCCTTCTCCCTGCTCCGCCCTCGTTCAGGGCTTCATGACCTCTGCTGTACATTGGCTCGCGCTGGATCTTCCACGATTTCTTCAGGTAAGGCTGGATGCATCCAGATCCAAGGCGGTTCTCCTCGGCTTATGTTGTTTCACCCCTACATGTCGATTGGACCAGAGTCGTCCCTGCCCCGTGAGAGCCACTGTCTCCTCGCCCTCTCGATGATCGATGCATCCGCCGGTTCGTTTCTTGGGAGGGCTTCGGAGTGCGCCCCCCCAGACCGTCGTAACAGCCTCCTTGATCGAGAGTGGCCTCGCGCGGATGTATTGGATCAGCGCAGGGCCTCCCTGGCGCCGCTGGCGCGCTCCGCGCGCCAGGGAGGGTGGTGGGGGGGGGCGGTCCAGTGCCGATCCAAGAGCTCCGCGAGGACCTACGCACGTGCATGCCGAATTATGTAGACAGCTCTTCTTTCCTCGTGACCCCGAAGGGGGCAATCGTATTGCAAACGTATTGCGCCAGAGAATTGTATTGCATTGTATTGCAACTAATGTACTTGTGTAAACATTTCTTCTTTCCTCGTGGCCCAAAAGGGGCAATCGTATTGCCAATGGATTGCGCCAGAGAGTTGCATTGCACTGTATTGCAACTAATGTACTGCACGCGAACATCCAGCGATACATCTGCGCCCGGACATGCCTTGCGCGCCCCAAAGTGCAGCCCCACAAGACTATTGCACCAGATCTATTGCAGCACCCCCTTGCCGCTGGACCCTCTTTTGGGTCAGCCAGGTTCTGCCTCCGCGAGTATCCCTCCTCCTCTTTCTCATCTTCGCCCCCCGCTGGATGGAGGAGGAGGAGGAGGAGGAGAAGAAAAATGATATGAAGGAGGAGCAGGAGGAGGCGGAGGAGGAGGAGGAGGAAGATGACCGCGACCCCCGAGCCTGCGCTGGCCCGCGGGCGGCCAAGGAGGAGCGCCGGGATGCCATCGACAAGGCCCGCGTCAGCGCCGGGATTTTGGCGCCGCTGCCTCGGAATCCTGGGGCTAGATCGGGCATGTCAGGAATGTCCAAGAATAGTAGAAAAATAGCCTGGGGACGATTTTTATCCGTAAGGGCTTCGCCCCCTGCCGCCGGCCCCCTCTCTCGGAGAATGGGCCATGGAAGAGCTAAGTCATGAGGCCTTGGCGCTGTCGTGAAGCAGTATCGAAACTTCATGCGAAGCCGATTCGCAATCAGCAAAACCAACTGATCACAAGAGGGGTTACCACACCTGGCGATTGGTAAGACGTGTATGGTTTACGGGCTTGGTTACCACACCTTGCGATTAAAGGGCCGAGGGAGTTCTCGCAGTTTGGGTTACCACGCCTTGCGATGGATGTGCGTGAAGGGTGGCACCGAATTTCAGAAATGTGGCAAATCCCCTGTGTTTTTGGACCCTGACCCCGCGGATCTGCGTGAGGGGTGGCACCGAATTTCAGAAATGTGGCAAATCCCATGTGTTTTTGGACCCTGACCCCGCGGATCTGCGTGAGGGGTGGCACCGAATTTCAGAAATGTGGCAAATCCCATGTGTTTTTGGACCCTGACCCCGCGGATCTGCGTGAGGGGTGGCACCGAATTTCAGAAATGTGGCAAATCCCATGTGTTTTTGGACCCTGACCCCGCGGATCTGCGTGAGGGGTGGCACCGAATTTCAGAAATGTGGCAAATCCCATGTGTTTTTGGACCCTGACCCCGCGGATCTGCGTGAGGGGTGGCACCGAATTTCAGAAATGTGGCAAATCCCATGTGTTTTTGGACCCTGACCCCGCGGATCTGCGTGAGGGGTGGCACCGAATTTCAGAAATGTGGCAAATCCCATGTGTTTTTGGACCCTGACCCCGCGGATCTGCGTGAGGGGTGGCACCGAATTTCAGAAATGTGGCAAATCCCATGTGTTTTTGGACCCTGACCCCGCGGATCTGCGTGAGGGGTGGCACCGAATTTCAGAAATGTGGCAAATCCCATGTGTTTTTGGACCCTGACCCCGCGGATCTGCGTGAGGGGTGGCACCGAATTTCAGAAATGTGGCAAATCCCATGTGTTTTTGGACCCTGACCCCGCGGATCTGCGTGAAGGGGTGGCACCGAATTTCAGAAATGTGGCAAATCCCATGTGTTTTTGGACCCTGACCCCGCGGATCTGCGTGAAGGGTGTCGATTTCGAGCCCCCCCAGCAATTCAGACAACGCGCCCAGGAGACGCTAAAAATCTGGTTTGGGCTTCCCCCCCCCCTCGCGCGGTCAATCAACTAGTTACAGTAACCAGCAAGAAGCAGAATTGTAACACTGGAAACTACAAGCTACAACTGGTACTGGAAACTGCGAACCCGCGCGCGCCTCGCAGCCTGGTGGCCCCACAAGGGGGCCGGCGGATATCATTCGTGGCTATGTTTGAGCATGTTGTAACTATTTGGCATTCTGTCCTCCGGAA